CCCCCGTCTGCCACCCCGTCTGCCACCCCGTCTGCCACCCCGTCTGCCTCCCGTCTGCCACCCTGGATGGAGCAGTACCTGCCAGTGCCCAGTAGGCGGTGCCCACACACTCATTCAGCAGGACAAAGGCCACCAGCGACATCCCTCCATTCATCATGCCCACCAGGAAGCGAGTTACCGCGAAGAACTCGTAGGAGGGGGAAAAGCCATTTGCAATAGCAAATAAGATGTCAAGAGCAAAACCTAGGGAGGAAGGAACTTTCGTCAGTCATCCAGAGGCCAACAGCCATAAATATTCATTCGTTTGTCATGATATCTGTAAGCTCCGATTTTCTGAGCTGTTTTATTTTTCAGTTTTTTGTAAGATCCATGAAAGCCCAAAATTTCCCGTCTTTATGACAACTGCTGTCTGTCAATCACGCACTGTACTCCGTTGTGAACACCGCTAGTAACTGAAAAACCCCAGCTCCTGGCTCACTCAGCACGCAGGGCCGCTCTCCAGCACAACGTGCGTGTGAAGGGAGCCACGCACAGAACGGAAGCGCCGGGCTCAGAACACAGCCGTCCTCTCTGCTTCCTTAGAAACGCGGCGTAAGGCAGAACTTGGGGGTGACCCAAGGTGCCACCATCGAGGAAAAGCTGACAATGCGTGTCTGGGTGTCGCTGGTATGTCGGTCACATGAACACCCTTGGCCAGAATGAACGCTGGCTGAAGCTTGGCCTCTTGCCAACACGGTAAAAATCAGTTCTGCATCCACATGGCAATTCCGTGGGCTGCTCATGGAAGGCTCAGCTTGCTACTTCCTGGAGAACCTCAAGGGGATTGAATCCTCGCACTCAGTTCAGGAGTGCTCTGATAGATTACCTGTGAGGAAGACTTTCTTCCTTCCAAAGCGATCTGAGAGCTGACCGAAAGAGATGACTCCCAGAAACACGCCGCTGAAGAAAAAGGAACTGGCTGCACTGACTTTGTATGATTGATTGGCGATTAAAAACCACTGAGGAAGGAAAAACAAGAGATGAGGTGGTCACAAAACAGATGGGTGGGTTGGGTGAGCTGTTAAAAAAACAAATGTACTACATCTTCCCACTGCAGTTTCTCTAGCACATCACCTATTATTATTATTATTAATTTATTTGTATAAAGCTGGGGTCTAGGCCAGGGTACAGAGGATGAGAGGACTCACCAGAGACAAAGTAGGGAGCAGAACAGGTGGATCTACTGAACTATACTGCTGAGGGGAGAAGGGAGACAAACAGCCAGCTGTGCCGCATGGGTCACTCCCTAGCAGAGGCTCGAACTCAGGCTATGAGGGTGATAGCGCTGAGATTTAACCCCTAGGCCACCAGGGAGCCCCCCCCCCACATCACCCATTATCAACTCGTATTCGGTACAGTGTCCATCGTGGATAACCGCCACGTAATACTTCTGAAATGCTAGACAATTTTTATTATGTTTTATTACTGTAATGTGCTCTCATAATCTTCTACACTCACCTTATCGCAGCTCTGAACACGGCATATAGGTCATTTATGCACATGGGCCCCCACCTAACTCCTGTGTTGAAGTGAGGCCCATTCACGTCCACTTTTCTAGCAGCTGACAACACACATGGTCTGTAGGAGGTGATAACTGAAAGGCCCTTTTCTAATATGTTAATAGATTTTAATCTCTTGAGTATTTTTCTCAAAAAGTTAAAAGATTAAGTGTATGATCCAGTAAGTCCACTCTGAGTGCAGTCATATCTTGCCTAGTTGACAATGGGCCAAATACACAGTGGTGATCCCAGGAGGCTATCCCACAGAGCCTAGCAAGCATCAGGCCACACCATCTAGGGTTGTGTAGACCATCTAGGGCAGTCACAATGGCAAATTGCCTAGCATTGCCTTTTTCCGATCACATCTGCTTTGTTAGGTGACACACGAGTGTATATATACAAAAGACACAAAATAAATGAAAGCAGGGATTCATTGTAGACTATTTTCTGCTGCAACATAATTCACAATAGCCAATGGTGGGACCAAATTGTAAAGGGGAAGGATGTCCTAAAGGAACTCTGCAGTTTTGTGAACACCACCCCCTACTCTGGCTTTCTGGACTCCACCCCCTTCTCCAGTGATTGGAAACGACAGCTCCCAGCAGTACCAGGGAGAGAACTGCGAGGACCCAAGGGCAGAGCTAAGCAGGCATTCTGGGACTTTGGGGGATAAAATAGTAAGTGGTTTTACAACAATGGCACTGGAGGGGTAACAGTTCTCTCTCTATGGAGCAACAGCTCTCAGACCGTGTGTCTGGGGGCTAGCAGTTAGTTTTGTTACCAGAGCTCCAAGTTAGCTGAGCTGGTAAGATATTCCAGTTTCCTTGTATCTCTCTCTCTCTTTCCTGGGTTGTTCCTTTTCCTTTCCCCCCTTTCGTAAATAAACCCACTATTGACACTTTTGTGTGTGCCTGCAGAACAATTAAATTTTAAACACGGGGGTGAGGACCCACAGACAGGCAGCCCAGTTTCACTCTGGGCTTCCCTGTAACAAAATCAAATGTCCAATCACAGATGAATGGATAAACCAAATGTGGTGTGTGTGTGTGTGCGCGTGTGTGCATGGAATATTATGCTGTCTTTAAAAAGAATGAAGTTCTGATAACATGCTACAACATGGATGAACCTTGAGTATATTACACAAAGTGCAATCATACAGACCTTAAAGAGCAAATAGTGCATAATTCTATTTTTATTAGTGTGATATAGTGATTTATAGTAAGAGACACATGTTTGGAAAGAGTTAGGGAAAGACAAAACTTGCAGGCAGACAATAGACCCAAGACATACACAGAAGAGGCCAGACAGAGGTCAGAACAGGGTGGGAGAAGCAGAAGGGACTGTGGAGATGGGTCAGGGGCGCTGTGGCAGTGGAAGGACTATGGGGACTGCACTGAGGGGGACATCAAATACTGTCCAAAGACCAACAATAAAGTTAAAAATTATATATGTGTTTGGTCTTTATCCACAGAGCTCCTGAAACTTCCTGTATTGGAACCATAGGGGTCTCCAAATAGCTGGAATGAAAAAAAAGAAGCCCAAGAATATGTTCTGTTGTAATATTTAGTTTTGTTCCCAGTTCCTGAAATAGGCCAAGAGCCATACCGGGGACATGGTGTTTTTGTTATTCATAAAGGCCCCTTTCATCCACACTTGGGCTTACGTGAGTGAGGTGATTCTGGAAAGTCCCTGCAGATGGGACTGGTTGCCAGAGAACCAACCAATGGTAAGAAAGCTGGAACTTTGCTCTCATGCCCCCAGGCCTCTGGGGAGGGGACAGGAACAGAAGATTGACCAAAGGCTGATAATGTACACCAATCATGATTTTGTAATATGGCCTCCATAAAACCCCCCTAAAAGAGAGCATGAGAGCATTTCCAGTTAGTGATGGGGGAGAAAGGAGCACGCAGAGAGAGCAGGCTCACTGTTTCAAAAGGAGGAGGGCAGAATCGGGGTTCAGCAGTGGGCAGTGGAGATGGGATGCTCTCAGAAGCGGGGTGCGACCCCTCACGGGAACAGCAACAGGCATCCCAAGACGTGAAGGTGGACTTAAATTTGGCAGTGAGCATTTTTAAGAGGCAGGGGGAGGAGATCGGCTTCCACAGAGCTGCAGGTTTCCTGGGAGCACGGGAGAGGGAGGGAGGCCACCGGGAATTCGGGGGTTTGCAGAGGAATGGTTACAGCAGTGATGGAAGATGCTGGTTAAGACGCAGAGGAAGACCTAAGGATGGCAGTGAGGTACTGTCACCTTCGAGACACCTCCCAAACCTTCACTTCTCTGTACTTCTCACTCCTGCCCTAGTTCTGACGTGGCTGTCTCCGCAGGAATCACTCGCTGAAGTGGCCCCTTCTCAACTGGAGGTCCTTTTCCCTCTACACCCGCGAGGGGGAGCAGGTGATTGGCCTCAAAGTTGACAATCAAATCATCAGACTGGAGCCCTCAACCTTTCTGTGGTAGAGCCGTCCACTCTCCTCCCTCGTGGCAGCAAGATGCTTAGCTGGGCACAGAGCCACCCAAAAGGAAGAATAAATGTCCACTCTACCCCCCAGTGGGGCTGGCCATGGTGTCCGCTGCGTGCATCAGAGAATGCAAACAGAAGCATCACGTGGCGGACCCCGGAAGCCATCTTAAGAGGCTGCTCCGGTTTTTGCCTGTTTCTTGTATCCCACTGGTTAGGATATCCGCCTGGAAGCTGGACATTCCCCGGCCCCAGGAAGAAGATGGCCACGTACTAGGGTGACAAAGTCAGAAGTGGGAGGACTAGCGTTGCCGAGAACAGTGGGCAGGGCAGGGCAGGGCAGGCCCAGGACTGGAAATTCGGTAAGTTCTCCAGATGATTCTCAAAGGCAACCGGGTTAAGAGCCGTGCCCTGGACATTGCCACCCTCCTTCATTGCATCCACTCTGAATCGTGAACCTCTCACTCAGACTCGGCTCCCCCCACCCCCCACCTAAACCCCTCTCCCCATCTCCCCACTCCTCTCCTCCAGTGCTCAAGCTCCCAGCATTCTTCAACTTTCTCAAGGCCCTGGTCACCACCAAGCTCTGATGTACAACCAAATTGTCAAAATGACTGAACATGTTCACATCCTGATTGAAGTTCTGAAAATTGAGGGAGCAATTCTGTTTAGTGCTGATCTGGATATAAGGAGAGCGTGTGGTGAAACGGTCAAGCTGCAAGGAATACCGATGGGGATGTTTCCCAGGCCGAACAATGAATCAACAATTAGGCATCAGGTTGGCCTGGAAAAGAGAGGACAGCCTTTGTCACAGAGACATCTCTTCTCTTTAAAAGGCCCATCAGCAAGGTGCTGCTGGACTTATTTTGCGCACCTTGAAGTCTGAACCCTTGCTGTTAATTTTTCATGTTCATAATGCTTGTTTTAGTGCTTTCATGCCCTTAACATAGGATCTGCAGGCCCTCCCTGGTGCACAACAGGTTAAAGCGCAGCACTATGAAGCTACCTGCAGCCACTGCAGCCC